TTTTTTTTTATTCTTATTTTTTGGTCTCTGATCCCTAAACTTCTCCAAGAATTTCCCTGGCAGAATTCCAGCCCATAGATACCTCTTTCACTCACCTGGAACAGGGCCTAGCTTAGCGGCTTCTGTGTTTCCTGTTCTTAGTGTACATATAAAAAAGAAACTGCCCTTGTGCTTCCTAAGAGGGTCGATGCATTTTATTTTCCAATTTAACTCATTAAAGTTAACTTAATGGTGGCTAGGATATTACTCATTATAAAGGTGCCTGAGTGGTATCTTTAACAGACGGAGGAATGTATGGCCCAGCTAGCGCGAAAATTCGTGGAAAAGTCAGTGTCAGAATGTCATACAGCCCAGGACATGGCTTGATCTTCCATATTTTATCAAATGAAGTAAATCTGCTTTTAATTTCTCAAAATTTACATCTTTCCCAATTTTGGATTTCACATAATGCATATGAAACCGAGAAACAATGTAGATGACTAAGGCTTGCAGAATTAGAGAAGCTTTATTGTCATCCTCTGAGGAAAGATGGAGCTTTAAAACTATCCAGATTAATGTAGTTATGGTTAATATAGTTATTTGACATTCACATCGTCTATTTCTTGGAGGTCGTTAGGAAAGCCATAGTCAGGAAAGCCAGGGGGCATTGTCCGTACATTCCAGGTGCCCAGGTTTAGGGCGGAAATTTTCTTACGATTGTTGCATGGTGCATGGTTATCTCTCCACAAGCCCTCGAGTACAATCACAGGAACGTCTTGAGTTAACCATCTACTCTCCTAGCAGCAGAAGAACACAATCCTTTGAGACCGAGACTACACAGTTTCTCGTGCACTGTGTGAAAAAAGACTTCCTTTTGTCTGTGTTGGATCTTCCATGATTCAGTTGCACCTGGTTATCACAGGTGTGGGCAAGGAAGAAAGCCTTTTGAGGAGGAGAACTAAATTAATTAGCATGCTTTCCTTCAAACTGATGTTTCCTCAAGTTTATTGCCTGGGCATCCAACTCTAAACCACTGATCTGTACTTATTTTGTTTTCAACAATTGCTAAACATTGGTCCTTTTTTACACTCTCAGAAATCACGTCTATGTTTCTATACGCTGCCTCTGACGTCCACTCCATCTCAACACCACCCTATTCCTGCTTTGTGATAATCCAAGCAAACACCAGCTATGCACTTCAGCCCTCTTCAGGTGAGGTCCAGGACGGTTTTTAAATTTCCACATGTGGTCACAGGGGCCAAAATGTGAAGGACACAAAACTCAGTGTCAAGTAATACCAAGTCAGCACTTCATCGTCGTTGGAAAAGTTTCATTGCAACAAATGCAAAATGAGATAGATGGAAGTTATCTGAAGGTCCCTTGGATTCACAGGGCCTCCTGCAGCACAGACTAAGACCGAGATCAATATGTCTGGTGCTGCTGTCAAAAGGGCGCTGTAAAACTGGAAAAGAGCAAGAAGAAGGGAGGAGGAAAGAATCAAAGAGCTGGAGCTTTCTTTGAAAAAGGAAATTACCTCAAACATCCTGGTTTGAAAGGCAAAAAAAAAAGGACAGGGGAGGGGAGAGGAATGTACGAGACCTGCGAAATGATATATTCAGGAAACACACTAGCCTCTTTCATTAAAGGATAAATATATTACCCACTGTCTTGCCTCCACAGAACAAGATTATAAGTAAATAATCTATGATACTCTTAGAAGTGACTCTAGGGATCACTGAGTCCAGCCCCTGACGGGTGACATTCTGGGCTTTTAAAGGGTTTCTCCCCTGTGTGGATTCTCATATGGCGAGCAAGTTGCGTCCTCTGACAGAAGCACTTTCCACATTCCACACAGGCAAATGGCTTCTCCCCTGTGTGGATCCTCATATGAGCGTGGATTTTAACATGAGAGCGAAAACTCGCCCCTTCATGGAAACACTTCCCACATTCCAAACATACATACGGTTTCTCCCCTGTGTGGATCCTCCTATGGGAGCGAAGGGTGCTTCTATGCCTGTAGCTATTTCCACATTCGGAGCATTTAAAGGACTTCTCCCCCGTGTGGATCCTCATATGAGAGGCGAGGGCTGTGGTGTGACTGAAGCTCTTCCCACATTCTGGGCATTTAAAGGGTTTCTCCCCTGTGTGGATTCTCATATGGCGAGCAAGTTGCATGCTCTGACTGAAGCACTTTCTGCATTCCACACACGAAAATGGCTTTTCTCCTGTGTGGGTCCTCATATGAACGGCAAGGTTTCTCCTCCGCGTGAATGTATTTCCGCATTCCAAACATGCATAGGGCTTCTCTCCTGTGTGGATCCTCCTATGGGAGCGAAGGGTGCTTATGTCCCTGTAGCTATTTCCACATTCCAAGCATGCAAATGGTTTCTCCCCCTTGTGGATCCTCATATGAGAGCGTAAACTCGCCCCCTGACGGAAACATTTCCCACATTCCAAACATTTATAGGGTTTCTCCCCTGTGTGGATTCTCATATGGCGAGCAAGTTGTGTCCTCTGACAGAAGCACTTCCCGCAATCCACACAGGCAAATGGCTTCTCTCCTGTGTGGATCGTCATATGAAGAGCAAGGTTTCTCCTCCGAGTCAGTATCTTTCCACATTCGAGACACTGAAAAGGTTTTTCCCCTGTGTGGATCCTCATGTGAGAGCGTAAACTCGCCCCCTGACGGAAACATTTCCCACATTCCAAACATTTATAGGGTTTCTCCCCTGTGTGTCTCCTCCTATGGAGGAGAAGGGTGCTTCTATGCTTGTAGCTATTTCCACATTCAGAGCATTTAAAGGCCTTGTCCACTGTGTGGCTTGTCATGTGGGCAGTGTGTACTGTGGCTGAACTTCTTTCCACATTCCAGGCATTCAAATGGTTTCTCCCCTGTCTGGAGTCTCATGTGAGAAGTATGGTCTGTACTCTGACCGATGCCCTTGTCAGACTCTGTGCATCTAATGGGTTCCTCTTCTCTCCGCATTGTCAGATATTTTTCTGGGGATAAAGCATCACAAAAATCCTCACTGTATTCTGAGCATTCTATCATTTTTCTCCCTCGGTGGATCTCCCACTGAGCATTTAGACCGATCTGCCCAGCAAGACTTTCATTGCCCTTAAGACTTGTGTTGCTTTCATCTACTCCTTCCCGGAAAAAATGTTCAAGAATATTTCCATGTGAGAAAATAAAAGATTCATTCCCCTTCTCTTCAATTTCTGTTTTATCTCTCTGGCGTTTTCCTTCTTCCGTGACTTTTTCAAAGCATACTTGAAACAGTTCTTCCTTCAACCTGCCTTCAGCCCCCCTTGGAGCTGAAAGAAAAAAAAAGAAAAACTGGATGTTCTGTAACAACCTCAACACCACCAATTAAATATAAACCACCTTAACCACAATGAAGCAGAAACTTGTCAGAAAGAAGCATCACGAGGCTATAGATAGACCATTTGATATTGTGGAGCTGCTCATGAAATGGTTTCATCAGTGGAACTTTAATTTATCATGAAGCCTTTAAGACTAACACATTTATTTCAGTGTCAGCCGTTTTGTTTGTGGTCCACTTCTTTAGACACCCGACCACTTTGGATTGTAGTCCGCAAAAACAGAGAATGAGATAAATTTAACACAAGATTCCTGTTGCTATTTTTTGTGTTGTTTGGGATTTGATCCTTCATGAAAGTGACAAACACTCTGAAGAGGGCTATGAGGGAAAGGAAAGCTTACCGAGAGACACCAGGAGAGCCAAATTCTCCTCCATGACTTCCCAGTGCAGAGCCCTCTGGCCTGGATCCAGCAGCGCCCACTCCTCCCCTGTGAAAGACACACCAACGTCCTCAAGAGTGACGGGACCCTGAAATGAAAGGAAGGCTCTTATCCTGACAGATGTCACAAATGTTCCACCTTTTAAAAGTACACTCCTGAAGAGAATAAATGTCAGCAACGTTCAGACTCAACCCTTCTATGACATTGTGGCCATCGACCACGTCACTCATTCCATTCATATTCATGATATGATTTGCATGATTTGCATGAACCTATGAGAGGACTGGAGAAGCGGAGTCAGCAGCTACATGAGGGTTGGTGGAAGGAGGAGGAGTCAGAGATTGGGATGAGATCCAGATAGAGATAGAGGCTGGTTAGTCAGAGACAGAGGGAACAAATAGTGCGATAAGAGCTGGATAGGCAAACATGTAGAGAAAGTGGCAATTATATAGCAAGAGAAAAGCAAGAGAACTGTTGATGATTTGCTTATGTATACAGTGGGGTCTTGACTTGAGAACTTAATCCATATTGGAAGGCGGTTCTCAAGTCAAAAAGTTCTCAGGTCAAATCTGCATTTCCCATAGGAATGTATTGAAAACCATTTGATCCGTATCTGCTCTTTTCTGTCCATAGAAACTAATGGGAAGCTGCTATTCTGCCTTCGACCACTAGAGGGGGATATTTTGTTTCTTTTTTTCTTAGGTCAAGAAAGGTTCAGGGAAGGCAGGGAAAATACAGTCCAGGCAGTACCAGGCAGTCTGAAGACTCCCAATCCACTCTCTAAACGCTGGGAGGAGTGAGGAAGCAGACAGGCACCCTTTTCACCGGCCAACAGTTAACTGAAAGTTCACATTTTGCACTTTCCCTGCCTCCTACGTGGGTTTTTTCAGTTCGTAACTCAAATCTAAGTACTTAAGTCAAGTCAATATTTTCCTATGAGAGTGGTTCTTAAGTCAAAATGTTCTTAACTCGAGCCGTTCTTAAGTCAAGACCCCACTGTAATGTGTATGTGAGAAACTTCTGTTACTATTCAATCTGCTTCACTTCAATAAATAAGTTCTGTTTCTGTTCACATGTCAAGTGTTCAGACAAACGTCATTTATATTGTGGATTGAAGTAATCCATTGGTGGTAGCGAAAAGAGAAAGGGACGTGAGCCTCTGTGAGGTAAAGAAGAAGGAGGGCCGACAAGGGTGAACACCAATTATTTCCCCAGACTTTGTCACAAGAATTCACGGCAAAAGAAAAATTTTTGTTCTGGTTTGTTCCGTTCCAGAGAGGAAATTAGGTGTCTGAGGCAGCATTTCTTTATCTCTCCATTCATTTTCTCCTACCTGTTCCATCCGCACAGGTGCTGTTTCCGTTCCTTCACAACGGAGAGAGGAGCGAGGATCTGTCTCCAACATGGTTCTAACGTCTGCAAACGGAGACCAAGGGGTGAAAAGATAATTATTCTTCGTAAACAATTTATCCCTTTAGTCATTCCTGCTACTTCTATTAACAAAAGCTTACATATCTGTGTGAGTACAGAGGATCTAAAACTCAACTCATCAACCTGGGGAAAAAATATTAAGAAAGCAAATTTAAGAAGATGACGCAGATAAACTTCTTACCTCGCAGGGCAGATCGTCTGCTCTTTTCCTTTATATTCTTCAGGCACTGATGCCTCCTTGTTGGGTCTGACAGAGATTCTGGTGCCTGGGGAAAGCCAAAGAATTCTGAAAACTCCTGCATTCAGAAACAGTATAAGGACAGCACACACAAGAATTAAAAATAAATAAATAAATAAATAAATAAATAAATTCACCTCTAGATGTTCCTTCTAGGAATAATTTGAAAGTGTCCTTAGTTGTACTTCTCAGGCCCACTTTAGTTTGGGATAATAGTACTGCAATAAAACTGAAATAGATTTTGTAGCCAATTCGGGGGCACGTAAAGCTGGAGATGTCATACATACATACATACATACATACATACATACATACATACATACATACATACATACATACATACATACATACATACATACATACATACATACATACATACATACATACATACATACATAAAAGCAATCATCTTTTTAAAACTGCACAACTGGAAGGGACCCTATGATCACAAGCTTTTGACAGATAGTTTCTGAACTTTTTAGGAAAACCAGAACCCTCACCAGCTGCTCTGCTTGCTTCTTATATGCCCTCTGACTCAGGAGGAAACCTTCTGCCAGGGACACGGCCTGCGAAGTGGATTCCGGCCTACATTCTCTGACCCACATCCCCATCTTTGCTGGAAGGACCTTCAGGAACTGTTCAAGGATCACCAGATCCAGGATCTCCGCCTTGGTGTGTTTTTCTGGCTTCAGCCACTGGCAGCAGAGACGATGGAGTTGGCTGCAAACCGCCCGGGGACCTTCATCCTCCTGGTAGCTCAATGCCCGGAAATGTTGGCGCTGAACCTCTGGGCTGAGGAATTCGCCGTGGAGGTTGGTCTGTGCTGTTCTGTCCAGGAGGTCCTCTTTGCTCCAAACCTCCATTTCATCTGGCTTTTTATCAGCTTCAGCACTAGCCGAGTCTCCTCCAAATGGAACAGAATGGAACGAGGATTCTACCAAAGACATACAATTGCTCCAGATTAATACCATGAATGACCTATGTGGAGCTTTTCCAAGTCTGAAGGCCCTCACTGGAATTTGAGAAAGGCTCTCTGCTCCTTTCCCACACCCATGCACTGCTCTCAATATCTCCTCACTGCTTTGTTCACCTTGCCTGCCTTCTCTCTAGACTCTGCCTCTCTGCTCTTCACCTTTCTGGAGGCGGGGAGGAAGACACAGCCCCAGACAGACCGAAAGGAAGACAGAGGTCTTTTCAAGGCAAAGAGAAGAGTGACACGCAGGTTTAATTGGTGGTACTAATTGCCTTTAATTGCCACAGAGTGTTGTCCTCTGAAGATGCCGGCCACAGAGACTGGCGAAATGTTAGGAAGAACAGCCTTCAGAACATGGCCAAAGAGCCAGAAAAACCCACAACACCTAATTGCCTTTAATTATTACTGTTTTAAAATTTAATCTAATTTAATCTGCATACCTACAACACTAGGATGCTAAAAAGTCTTAAAGACTGTTGAAATCCCTGTCTTTTCTAGTGTCTGCTTTTCTCCGTCATACTTTGCCCCAGGAATTAATGTCTCCTCAATACACATTGGCTTTAAAAACAGAAAGTGCTTTAGAGAAAGGTTCTCTTGGATAGATAAGGGACTCCCAGGGAATTAAAAAGGTACTCCTCCTGATCTGTTCTCAGCCAACATTTCCTACCCCTGAAAGACAATATTATGATTTCCACCAGAGATGGAGTTCTCCAAGTTTTGTAGTCAGGGAAAGGAGGCATATTATTACATTGAGAAGGAAGTGAAATTGAACAAATGAAATTGAATCAGTGTATGGGAAGGAAAGAAATAGACGACCAAGGGGACCCCCTTGGCTCTCTGCCAAGTCCCCTTCCCTTCCTCGTGGGGCCGAGAAGCACAGCACACACTTGCACACACGCCTGGTTGTGAGCTGGGGACGGGGGCCCAAGTTGGAGACACCCCCCACACCACACCCACCATGAACACAACGTTTCCCTCCTCTGAGATGACCTGCCCTCAGCTGCCTCTCCCTAATTATCTGTCTCCAAAAGGACATTAACTGACTCATTAATTTCACCCTACCCCCTCCCCCCCAAAAGCTAACACTGGAGCTTCTCTGAAGGCCCTGCAAGAGGGCAAGGGCATCATCCGCCGCATGAGATGTCCCTCAAACAAAACCCAGCCGGAGCCCTTCCAGAGACCAGCCTCTCGGGGGACAGATTAGGTTGGGGCTCTTTGGCCGGACCCAGCCCGCAGAAAAGTCCTCCCCCGCCTCCTCCGCCTCCTCCCAGCCCCTCCCAGTGGGTTTCCAACCATCCCAGTTCGATGGGGGTGGAATCCATGGGGAGGGATCGCCTTCACAGGCTGGAAGGAAGAGGACGTGGGGTTTTTTTTTGGGGGGGGCGATCCTCAGAGGAGGCTCACCGGCCCCGATCCCAGAGGGAGGGAAGGAAGGAAGAAGGGAGGGGATCGTGGTTCTTCCAGGGACTTCCTCCTTCCAGCCGAGGTTCCCTTCCTCCGGGCTCTGCTGCCCCTCGACACCGTCCTCCACCCTTTCCCCCCCCCTCAA